AAATATAAAATATAAAATATAAAATAATAAAATAAAAAACAATAAAAATGATGAAAAGGAAAAATGAATCCTTTTAATAATAAAATTTTATATAATAATGCATGAATACTATTATTTGCAATAATTAATTATTAGTTATTTTTCATAAGAAAAAAAAGGAAACAAAAATGAAAATCTTCAAAAATAGAATTTTAAGAAAGTTCAAGTAATAATTCTTAAGAAATTTCTATGTGGAAAAATTATTTTAAAACATTGTCAAAGTATAGGGGTATTTAAAAAAATTTTCAATAAAAATGATTTTTTTAAAAAAGAAAATAAAAATAAAACAATTAGATAATTAGAATAAATAAATAAAATTAATAATGAATAAAAAAATCAAGCTAGATAAGGTATAATAAAAACAAAATTAGAAAAATTACTAAGATAAAAAAAAAACTTTTTGCATGCATATCACATTTCGTTATTTACATCTCATACAATAATCATGAAAAATCTATATGAATTTTCAAGGATGAGATTTAAGAAAATCTGAGTAGTGATTTTTAAGAAATTCTTAAATGAAATTTTTTTTTTAATGTTATTAATATACTGCAACATTTTGAGAATTTTTTAATAACAAGGTTCTAGTATATTTTCCTAGTAAAAATGGAATAATAATGTAAAAAAAAAAAAGAAAGAAAAAATTTTGTAAAATGAAAGGAAATGAAAAAAAATCAAAATTGTGATAAAATAAAGAGAATTAAAGAAATCATCTTTAAATATCAAAATTAAGATTTTTTTTATCAAAATTAAAGGGTAACACGTGATTAATTGGTACCGTGTTTAAAACGAATGTGGTGGGGATACTAATTTTTTTCATGCATAACCATACCATTGAACCTAATATTATTTTTATAGACCCAAAAATTATATTTTTAATAAATTTTAAATTTTCTTAAAATGATAAGTTTTATTAAAATGATAAGTTTTATTAAATGTCAAATCGTATTTAACTAAAAAAAATTGTTGACGCCTTATTTTATTTTGATTTTTTCAAAATTTATTTAATGATCTCTAAAATCATTACAACACTATTAGCTATTTGTTTTTAGGAGTAAATACGTCTAAGCGTGTGTTGTGTCCTATTGGCATATAATTATTATTGATACTCTATCCATTATGAAGCATGGACGCTTATACGTAATATTGATATAATACGATATGAATATAATAATACGATAATTTTTAAAAAATAAAGACATGGGTATGATGGAACAAGAGAATAAAAAATATTTTTTACCTAAAGATATTTAATATATATATATATATATGAATACAATAAAATGTATTTATTAATATCTATTGGTAATTAATTTAATCAGAAAAATAATTCCAAATAATAGAAGGTGCTTAAATGAAGCAATTGCATGTAAACCCAAGATATTTGGGGTATAAAAAAGTTGAAGATCAAGTCATTACACTTTGAGAATGTCATAAACTAATTAAAAAACGCTACGAAAACAAATCTTGATTCACAAACTTCAACCATTTAAATAAAATTCAAAGACATATCTTTCTATCCAAAGTCTCATTAAAAATTTTAAATCCATAACTTTGCTTCCTCCATCAACCGCTTTACTTTTATTTCATTGATCATATTTGTTGCAACAGAGACCAACGATTAGTGGTTCAGCCTTTACCGTCAACTAAAAACTAACCTTCACCTCTGACTCATTCCACCTTCAGCGTCAACTTTTGGGATCCACAACAACTTTCGGAGCTTTGGCTGAGAGGAAAAACCATAAAGGGACACAAAGAAGATAATACTCTTCAAATAATACTCTTCCTTGCAATACACGGTACAATTGGTTGGCTTGGAATGGTGGACAAATTGGTAAATCGTTAAAATGCAGAGGTGGATTGATGAGTGAAAAAAAAGCGCAAAGAGTCATGTCCGGATGCTAGAGTAAATGGCGTGTCTGTGCTTCCCTGTCGGTCCAGATTGCTCTTATGAATATACGTTTCTTGGTTTGATTTGCTAAGCACTAATTCAAAATGGATTGTGCTTATCATTTATGTTTGACTTTGCAGCCCTCTGAAACGATGGTGACAAAGCGGGGCATGAATAAGACCGTTAGCGATCAGGCTATCCATCTTCATTTGGATGCCAAAGTGCGAGGGATTCCTGCTGCAGAAAATTACTTAATTGATCTACCTGAAGCATCCAAGAACCATCTCACTTATGGTACCCTTCTCAACTGTTTCTGTAAGGAATTGATGACTGAAAAAGCAGAAGCTCTAATGGAAAAGATGACCGAACTTAACCTTCCTTTAGGCTTCATGTCTTATAGCATTCTCATAACTCTTTACACAAAGATAGGCCAGCCAGAAAGGATGCCAGACATTATACAGGAAATGAAATTATGCGGTATCGTGCAAGATTCATATACATACATTGTTTGGATTAGGGCTATAGGTGCTATGAATGATATTTTTGGGGTTGAAAGAGTTATTGAGGAAATGAAGAGAGATGCCGAAGATGCTGATGATTGGACAACATATAGCAATGTAGTATCAGTTTATGTTGATGCTGGCTTGTTTGAGAAGGCTGAAAAGGCACTTAAAGAATTGGAAAAGAGAAATGCGCACAAAGATCTTTCTGCTTTCCGGTTTCCAAATACATTGTAAGGCCAAGTAGGAAATTTGCATGAAGTTTATTGAATATGCATACATTGAGGCTTTCTTTTCGCAGAACAGCCAATATAAGCTATCCGAATATGATTCAGGCTTGAAAGATTTACCAGGAGCAGAGAAATGCTTTAGACAATGGGAATCAGGTTGCTTTACTTACAATATCCGGATTGCAAATGCCTTAATTGGAGCTTATGATAAGAAGGGTTTGCTAGAAAAAGCTCTAGAGCTAAGTAGAGGCCCTGCAGGAGAGGGGCAGAGCCTAACACCAAACTTGGGTGATCTTCTTGGATTATTATTTGAAAAATGGGGACATCAAGCTGGCAGTTGATTGTGTGGACGATGCAATTTCTACTGGCAGAGGAAATGGTGGAAAGTGGGTCCCATCATCTGAAACTATTGGAACTGTCTTGCGTCATTTTGAGAAAAGGAAAGATGTTGATGGGGCTGAATGTTTTCTGAAGATTTTGAAGAAAGCTGTGGATAACGTAGGAGAGAAAGTGTTTGAATCATTAATCAGAACTTATGCAGCTGCTGCCGTTTGAAGATGGAAAAGGTGGAAGTGAGTGAGGCAAGTAAGAAATTGCTTGTGGTCATTTCCATGGAGTGAGTTTTCTCAAATTTTTTTTATGAAATTCCAATACCTGTAGAAGTCATTCTTGATAGCTTTCAATTATCTGTTATTTTTATAATAAAATGCAATTGGTAATAATCATGTTGAACCAATACATAGTAACATACTATGGTTCATCCAAGAATGCTCCTGTCATTTAGTGTTTTTCTTTGGTTTGAGAAAAGATGTGCTGTTTCATACTGGATGCTATGAGATAGATTCTATCTGTTCATCTCTTTAGTTACAGGCAATGTATAACAGATTTTTAGGTTCACTATGGCTGCATGCAGTTGAGTTGTAATAGATTTGGAGATCATATGATGTACTTTCTTGTAATGTTTACTTAGAAAATTAGGTAACAATTATGCGCATCCTGCCAAATGCTAATGCAAACAAGGATGCACTTCAGTTCTACACATCCGCAAGACTCTAGGGTGTTTGTATCCTTCCCCTCCCTACTCTGACTCATAGGTTAAAAGCACTGGGCTACTGGCTACATCATCCCTAGATTTCGAGGAATATTTAAGGGTAGATGAATGAAGCTAAGCCCAAGGTTAAAAATTCTCTGGCAGGGCCTTCTGTTTTATGCATTGCTGTCAAAATGGTTGTGCCTCAGTAATGTCCTATGTAGCAGTTTCTATTTCTCACAAAGTCCATCGCGTTGAGCTTCACTCCTTGGCTTTCATTACTGAAGATTTTGTAATCCATGGCCCGAAAGTTCCTGCATGCTCAGTCAAGATAAGATAAATGAGTTGAGACAGTGACACTGCATGCTTATGTTACTACAGCCAATTGGTGCGTGTCGTGGCACTCCTGTAAGGCAAACTGGCTGTAAAAGTGTTTCTTGGTCCCTTAAGTGAAGCAAGGGCGTCTTTAAAGCTTCCATGTCCTCTTGTATTCAAAAATCTAAAACCCCTATTGCATTATCCCAAAAAGTGGGATAAGTTGTCATACCTATTGTAATTGGTAGTGCTGAGAAGGTTTTGGGTCCATATCTGCCATGATGCTCAATTTTATCTTGGACCACCAAAAGGGCTGCAAAAATGCAGAAGCTTCCTTCTTGTCCAGTGGATGAGTGAAGTTTTTAAAGGCCATCCCTTTAAATTAACAACTTGGTTCAATTTTCCAACCATCTTGAACATTGCTTGTGCTGGGTGAAATAATGGGATGGGGCTAAAGTAGATTTTAAGCCCAAAACTTCACAAACCACTTCTTAGCCCTGGCAATGAGGTTGAAGCTGTTGGAATTTTCAGATCGCGAAATTGAAAGGTCAGGATATCAGGCAAACAGAGATGCATGTTCTCTGACATGTCTAGATACATCGACCTTCCTTTTTTTTTCACTGGTTGCACCCAGGTTAAGCCCTGTGGTCCAATTGGCTTGTCGTGTTCGAAGGTTGAGAAGCTTTCGGTTCCAAAAGTTCTCTGCCAGCCGTTACGCATTAAAGAAATGACTGAGCAAAGGTCAAATTTTGTTAAATTGAGATTTGAGATGACGATAATTAATTTCATGATCCATGATTTATGGTATATTTTCTTTGGACCTACTGCATTCGAAAACCATTACATGATACACCGAAAAACACTAGAGGTTGAGGTTTATTTTTAATCTTGATTAATGGATCTGAGGGAAATCCATAGAGAAATGTGAATGACCATGAAGCATTTGAGGAAGATGCATGTGGATGGTTAATGCATCTAATTAAGACAGTGGTTAGATCTCTGGCCAATTGAACGGTCCCTATTGGGATTAATTGCTCTATTCAATCATTTAGTTGCCAATGTTGAAGATGATGTGCCAGTTTTTAAACCTTTGCATTCTTCAATTCTTCCCAACCGGGATAACAGAAGGAAAAGAGGAATCATATTCACAACCCATACTGTATTCACTATATTCCATACTTTTTTCCACATTTACATCAAGTCCCTAAAGGTTGTATAGTTAAAAGGACACCTGTTAGTTGAAAGGAAAGAACATTGGAAAAAATTGGGTAACAAGGAAAAATAATTACTATAAGAATACCCCCAAAGGCCCAAGCTCTCTGATCAATGATCTCCAGAAGAAATCCAATTTCACCCAACAAGTATTAAAGAAAAAAAACTATATATTAAAAAAAAAAGAGGGAAAAAATTCCACCCTATACCATTCTCTTTAGAGACACCTCACATTTCTTCCAGGTCCACCATAGTAAAAATAATTCCCCCAAACTCTATTAATCCCTCCTTGGATATCATAGCAGTTGGGATGATCTGCCAGGACCCGAAGATTTGCTAATGGGATTAAGTTATTATCCCAATCAACAACTTGCAAGTTTCGGAAATAGGAGGCCTTTCCAAAGCCTTCCCCCGCAAAATGACCACTGCCCATTTCTGTCGAGGTGTGAAACCCTCCTGGCCTTGAATTCACAATTTCTCCACCAAATTGTACCATGCTTGCATGATCCCTTAGGTGAGAAAACAAGAATGATGGCCAGTATCCTACCAGAATCCCCGATCCGAATTCCAACCACCAATTTCCATGCTTTGGATCCTACACCAAATACAGTATTTAAAAGCTGTCAAGTTTTTCTTTAAAAAAAAAAAAAGCTGTCTAGTTTTTCATCCTTTTAGCACTCATTAAGGATCTTGCATTAATTGCAATCCATGCTCAGTTAAAAGCAAAGGTTATGAAAACGAACTTTCATGGTAAAATTAACGATTCTCTTATTCACAAAGTTAATTCATGGCATCTGAAAAATAAAAATATGAAATTCGAATTTTAATATTTGTAAATTTTTATTTTTAAATTATGATTTTTTATATAAAAAATAAAGTTGATTATAGAATTATTAGAAAAAAGGAAAAAAAACAAAAGTTGAGGGGTCAGAGCACCCAAGAAGCTCTTTTACTGAGAAAAGAATAGAATCTTGCAAAGCAAAAAGCAGCCATTTCGGAAATAACAGTGCGTGCAGGGGAAGTGCACCATTGTAGTGAATGAATAGATAGAGCTAGCCATGAATAAAGTTTTCACATATGATATTGTTTGATGCTAAAGGAAATTTTATGTTGTCTATTGCTGATACAGTTACACCATATAATTTGTGAATGACCCACCCTTGACCATAAGAAACAAGAAAAATAAACTTTGTTAGATGAGATGTTCATGGTTTGGATCAACTCTAATGGGCAATTGAAAGTTTTTGCCCAAGATTCGATCCAATTTGTCGAACTCAATAGCTCTGAATTTTTTTAAAAATACATTAAAAACAAAAACAATTGAAATAGTAATATTTAAATAATTTTAATTATATTTTAAAATTAGAATAAATAAAAGCATGTTTTATTTAGCATATGAATTATCCAGATGAATTCGGACTTTAAAAACTTTATCCAAGACTTATCCCAAATCGAGGTCAGCCCATAGATCCAGCGGGTAGCTGACTAATGAACAAGTAATAAAAATATATATTAGAAATGATGAAAGATTTTTAATCTAATAATTGATTTTATTTTTATAATCACATATGTTATTTTATAACATTTTTGAATTAAAACTTCTTTTTTCATCTTTCCTATCAAATGAGCCCCTAAGTTTTTTTAATTCAAGAAAAAAAATAAGGATCTGTTTGTCCAAAGTTGATGGAGTATCGTTTAAAAATATAATCAAATCAAATCTAATTGATATAATAAAAAATTTAAAATTAAATTTGATTTGTGAGTCATTTTTCAAAATATATATAAAATTATTTGAATTCATTTAATTAAATTTATTTATCAAATGAAAAATAAATTTTATTTTTATATTCGACTTTAAACTTAATTTATATTCGATCTTGAGTTTGAACTCAAATCAATATATATATATAAAGATAAATAATAATTTTTTAATTAAGTAATAAAATATATTTTAAAATATAAAAATTTAATTAAAATTATAAATTATTCGAATTAAATATTAAAATATTCAAACTCGATTTGTTTAATAAATTAAATTATTTAAATTTAAATTCAGCTCAAAATAATCTATTTATATTCGAATTTTATCTGAATTAAATTTAAATAATTTATGAATATTGATTTATCATTTATATCTTAACCTCTACTGTCAAATCTACTGTTTCAGGGAGCAAAATTACAATGCACGTGTCGCATAAGTACTGAACGCAAGCATAGCTTTAGCAAAGAACAATGAAAATACTTTTTGTTTTAAATTATAGTAATTGGAAGTTGGTGTCTTACCTTCCAAACCAAGAGGGTAATGTCAAACTGTCCGCCGTTGTAAGATGAGGTTGGGGAGATTGCAGCTCCAATTGCAATTCTATTATTAGTTTGAACAAATCCTGAGCACAGCAAATTATAACAGCCGGTTGCTTGGTATGCGTCGGTCTGCAAAAATATCATGCTGCATCATCAATTTGTTTTGAAACTTCAAATGATGTATCTTACGCTTTAAGATTTAGCTTAATAAAGCAAAGAGAAAAGGAAAAAGCTAACTTGTTTCCAAATAATTATAGTATACGTACGGTCCAATAAGTAAAGAATCTAGGATAGTTGTCCCCATATAGCTCTGGGCTGACCTGCAAGAAAAAAAAATGAATGAGACAATTAGCTATTTAGCATCTATGGCTTCAACACAAAATTATACGACATTTCTTCAAAGAAAAGAGACAACGTTGAGTTGTGATTACATCTATTAATTTTAAATAAAATACAATGATAAATATAAAAAAAGATGAAAAATATATAAAAAATGATATGATTTAAAATTTTAAAAAATCATATATAAATTTGATAAAAAATTAAAAACTAAAAATTAAAAATACATTTTGTATTTAATAAATTAATATTTTCATATTTTACACATATTTAATAAAAAATAAATATAATACATATATACTAATTATTGGATCTAATTGGCATAATTGCTTTAAATGTGAAAATTAATAAGTGCATAAAATTCAATGTGCACAGACAATTTGAAGCTAATTAATGCTTTGTCCTTACGTTTAGTTTTAATTTTGTTAGGAAATATATATTAACAGATATTTAAGTGTTTGATTGAATAATTGATGCATATTATATTGTTTTAGTAATATTTATTATATTTTTTTATGTGTTTAATAGCTAAAATTATATTAATTTTTTTTCATAAAATTTTTGTTAAAAATAAAAATATGCTAACAATTGTATAGTATCAAAGATTATGTTCTTGAAAACGCCAAAAATGTAGTTATTAAGGGGTAAGTAATTACATGCCTGCCAGCCAGCTTCAATGGTATTGAGATCGTCGCCAAATGAACCAGAGATGACCCACAATTGTGATAAGCTGAATTCGTATTGATTAGAGACACGAGGTGCCCACACATTTATGCTTGCTTTTGCTCCATAATATTGATCTCCGCTCACAAACCCAACTGCATGCTGTAACCCAATGCCAGTACAACTTACTCTCTATATTTTTTCTATTAAATTCACTTGTAAAGGGTGTTTGTATTTTGAAAGTATAATTCTGAAAAAAAAAATATAAATGCAGGCTGTGACAGCTAGGGTAAAACAGAGAATTGCAGATGCCTTAACAATGAAAATACATCATTGTACATTGAAGTAAGTGTCCGAGTGATAACGTTAGCCAGGGGAACCATGAAAGTCTGTAGCAACTACAGGTAGGAATTTCACCGCTGTTTTTTATTCATGGTTAGAGCCATGTTAAACTTTTTCCTTTTGTTTTCCTGCTTTTAATTTATGTTCCAAATAGAAAATGTCTAGCATTTCATGAACTCTTTTTTTTTGCACTCATTTCAGTCAATTTTAGACAAATACAGAACGAAAAAACCAACAGAAACCCAGGGGAAAAACCGAAAATAAAATGCAGGAAAGAAAGAGAAGCAAGTAACAAATGAGCTTCTCTGGTTTAAGCAATAGAAGATACATAAATTTATTTTTGAAAAAGCAGTTTTTGGGTATCCTCTTCCTCTTTTCTTTTATGATTTCGATGAGTTTGCCATCTTTAATTAAGTGGGCATTGGAAAGGAGACAATTGGCAAGCCTCGTATTGCTATTCACTTTGACTACTTTCTTTATATTAGTGTCTTTTGATTTTGTATGGCCCTAGCTAATTATTTGTGCTGTTTTTACAGAATATTGTGGGACAGGAAAAAAAAAGGGACAAAAGAAAAAGAGTTGCAGGCTTAATTTTTGTTTTCTAAAGTATACTTGTCAAGGCACCTACCTCATGGCCATTGCCTGTTGAGTCTCGTCTGACACTTCTTCTTGATTTCCTTCCAAATCTTCTAACAGAACTAGCCCTCAACACGTCTTGTTCAGTTGTTCTTCTGATTGGAATTGTTCCTTCCGGACATGATTCACCAGACATACTCCACAGCTGAAAATCTTCTGCCGCCATCCCATTTGGGTTATGACCACTTGGTCTCTCTGGTGGATCCTGTTTCAAGAATCATTAAAGGTGTTAAATTCCAGAAATTCATTTGTTTTCAATGTTCATCATAAAATCCAAAAATAAATGCATGGTAATAAAATTTAATAATCACCAATGGTTCTTGTCCTTTTAATTGAGGATGATCGAAGGCCGGTTGATGATGCAATAAAACACAATCTATGATATCGCCATCTGGACTCTGCACCCGCAAACCAAAGAGAAAAAAAAAAAAAAGAAGAAAAGGGCCTAACGTAGTTAGAGAAAACAGAACAAAAAACAAAGGAGATTGGAAGTCAATGTCTAATGAAAGATCAATAACTGAGGCAAAATGGATTAATTGCCTGAATTGTCTTGACTGCTGGCTTGTTGATCTTGTTGAGACGTTCTCTTATTATTTTCAACTTTTGTATCTCTTCTTGTGGCCGCAAAGTTTGATTTTTAGCGTGGAGATTGCCGGTTTCCGATGAATAGACAGGACAAATTGAAGAACAGACAAGAAGAAAGAAAACAAAAATGGGAATGATTGGTGAGATCGTACAACAGCAAGAAACCATGTTTGAGAAATTTCCTCTTGTTGTTTCTTGCACTATATCGGTTTTCATTTGTGTACATTGGTGTTGTCTTCTTCTGTGAACGAAACGGCACCCTCTATTCCCAGTTTTTTCCCTTAGAAATGACGCTCCCACCAAATCCATCCAACACAAGATGACCATTCTAAGAAAACTTTGTTGAGTACTTTCACTCCCTCACCAATTCCGAAGTTCTCGAGAACAACCATGAATGACAAAAAATAATTAAAAACACCACTTCCATCTTCTTCTTCTTTTTCTTCTTCCTTCTTCTCTCACAGCTTCTAATGTCTTGGTTTTTAAGTTCTGACACCTTGGCTTGAACTTCTACGCATTTCCCCGATTAGAAAAACACAGAAATGGGGTTGAGTTTTCTTAAAGTTTTGCCCATGTGGGGGTGGTGATATAAATACCAAGTAGTGATGAAATCATGCTTAGGATTTAAATATTTTGGGGGAAGAGAGAGAGAGAGAGAGAGAGAGAGAGAGAGAGGTGAAGGCCTGAAGGTTGTGTTTCCGGTCTTCAATGCAAGGACTGAAGCTTTAGCTTTTGTGTTAATTTTATAGGGAAAACTGGTCCTGATTTCTGTTGTTCTTTACTTTGGTTTCTGAGGACAGAGGAATTACACTTGATTCTGGGTTTCCAAATTTCTTTGTTTTAGGGTGTCCTCTTTCTCACGTCCCTGGATGTTCTTTGTGTCAGCTACTCTGTTTTTATTATCTCCCAAATAAACCATCACAATTTAGCAAGTTAAAGCTTACCCACTTTCATGTTCCTAAAATTGTTTACTAATATTTATTTTTTTCCAAAGTAGAAATTATAAATATTGAAATTTTAATTTTAATTAATTAAATATTACTTTTTAAAATAATTATATAAATTAATTGAGTTAAGGTTGGAATAAAATATTTATTAACATCAATTTCATACGGTTTGAATAATTTGCCACCGTTACACACCAAAAAAAAAAAAATTAGTGATCGGCTGTTGCCAACACTAAAGTAATCAAGATGTGTCCGAGTTGGAGGGTTGTGGATTTGGTGGGTCAGTTCATTGACGGTCAGCATACAAATAGGAGAAATCATCACTCTCTGCGGTTTTAGTTTGCAATCTTAAATTCTTAACTAATGGGAATTTTTTTCTTCTTTTGTTTCGGTCAAGTAGGAACAACTTTTTAAAGCTGTCGTTTTCTGAGAGAGTGCCAATACTTCTTAATGTGTTGGGGGCTGATGTGTTGGCATGCGCACTTGGTTATGTGCACTGCCACTGCATGCCTGTGTAAGCACCCATGCATTGTATTGCATGCTTAATTTGATTTCATTACAATTCCACCTATGCATGTCTCCTTTGTGTTTGTATTTAGGGGCTCAAACTTTGATTTGTTTGCTAATTGCTGCTATGGAATTGGTATTGGTGTATATTGCTCCTATTTAAGTGTGTAACTTAGGTCGAGTTTGCTTTGAATTTGATTTGAATGATTTGGATCGATACAAATTAAATTACATGATAAATATATTTTTATTTAAATTTGATTCAACTCATATAAAATTGAATTGAACGAGTAAGATTGAGTTATGTCATTTTTTTTATAAAATTTTTTTGTATAATTTATATAATTTCATAAAAACTATTTTTTGAAACTATTTTAGTATTGAGTATAAATGACTCAAAGTTCATTATGTTTTTTAAAAAGCAAAAATCAGAGCCAAACCTAAAGTGGAGGGAGACTAGTGGAGAGTACAATTCCAAAGTTATTTATTAGTACATATTCTCACAGTCCTGTTATGCTTGCTTTTTATTAGTTTTTTTAGTCAAATGAATTCAACTTTAATTATTATTTTTAATAAAATCATAAAACTAAAAAATTTTTAAAAATAAGATTTATAAAATTTTAATTTTATAAAATATTTTTATAAAATAATGGTTAAAATTGAATTTGTTTGATAAAAAAAATCAAACATGAAAATACAAAATGGAACATAGAGAAGTTTATTTTATTATTATTCAAACTGTAATTAAACTATTTTTTGGTGGATATATATTGTTGAGATTTGATTACCTATAAATATAACTAATTAGAAGGCTGGTAAGGCAACAAAGGGAGGGTTTGCCTGTCCCTATGTATCTTTTTCAGGGCTCTGGCAATGATGCTTGCACATCTCTAGCAGTCAATTTTGTTTCTTCTTTTAAACGTTTTATATTCTGATTCTCTCTACATTAATGTGCTTAAACCGAAGCAAAGATCTTTCAAGAAAAGGGTTGGGTTTCTTCTTTTCTTCTCCTTTTATTTATTAAATTAATTTAGTGTTTTGTTTGTTAATTATTTCAAAACCTTTTGAGGCTGAGGAAGCTAGTGAAAATTTCCAGTTGGATCAGTACTGCATATGAATATATAATTGCCTCTTTCAAGGGAGGATAAGAGACTGATGTTGATGTCGTTAGAAGCCATGTGATGTAACCTTTACACTAAAATTCATTGTTTCCCTTTTCATCATCTCCAGAAGAGGAAAAGCTGAACCTGAAATTGTTTGAAACACCCAAAAGATGAGTTAAGAGATTGTTGTTGATTTGGATACTCATAATATTATGATTTATGAGTTAATTATACAATTAAAAATTTAATTTAATTAATTTATGTAAGTATGATATGATATTTAGAAAATTTGAAATTCAAATTTTAAATTTTACAAATTTTAATTTATTTCCAAACTGTTAAATTTTTTTTTTATAAAAAATTAAGGACATGGTCTAATAAAATTTTCAAAGCTTTGAAAGTTTTAAATTGCCAATTAATTTAATTGGCTATGTTTTTTAGTAATTATATTAAAATTTTAGAATTAAATTTAGAATTCATCAACAATTCAAGTCGAATAAATATAATTTGCGGAAACGAACCACTTTAAAGGCATCTTTCATTTTGTAATTCTAATACAGTAAGAAATAGTAAAATTCTCTGAAATTGAAAGTTCAGCAGCTGCATTAATTCCTGTCCATGAATAGTTATATCTCTAGTGCTGATTTTCAATAGAATTTATGCCAAGATACAAACAATCATGGTGTCGGCATATTGAGAATGGAATGGAGCTTCCCTTCAAGGCATATATGAAGGGAAAGAAGAATATTTCATTGTGGAAGCCAAAGGTCCCTTTTTTTTTTTTTTTGACATGCAGTGCCTTTTAATTGGGTTTGCATTGACTCTAGATGATGAGTGAATGACACGTAAGGTCACTTAAAAAGAAAATTTTTTTTCCTTTGCTTCATCCTCTATGTTTAATTTTCCTTATTAATAATGTATAATTAGTACGCATTGATTTGGCAATTGCCCTTCGGCCGGTGTTTTGTCTCCAGCTCCGGCCCATTAAAAACATATTCTTGATCATAAGTCCATGTAGCCAGATGGGTTCGGCCTAAAAGCTGAGATCCAATTGACACAAGACCATTTTTTTCACGCAATATTGTAGCTTGAGATAGGAAAAATATTAAATATTTATAAATATTAAGATTTAAATTTTTAATTTTTTAGATGTTATCTTTTAAAATAGTTATATGAATCAATTAAATTAAATTTAAAATTTTTTTATATTACGTGGTTTTAGAAGCCAGGTGACCAAAGAGCTTTCATTGCAGTGGCTTAGATTTAGAGAAAATGAATGGGACTGGTTTCTTTGAAGCCTCACAAAGCACCATAGGTGAGCTTTTTACGAAAGAATTCTAATCCCGGAAGCCTCGAAAAAGGACTTAATTACCATAAAATGTGAAAGAGAATGGACGGTTTAACTCCACAAATTTAATTAGTGGGCTATTGGTTGACTAAATGCTTTCTCCAAGGAATGTAAAGGTGCTTTGTAATGATGACATTGTTTTAATTTCTTTACTTATAAGATTGGATTGCAAAATTATAGTAAGCTATCTGATTTTTCATTTCAAATTAAGTCCTACAAGGAACCTTCCTAAACTTTAACATAATTATTCGATCACACTTAAACAAAATAATTGTAATTGAGATTGTAAGATAAAGGTTAAGGGTTTAAATAATGATTTTTTATTTTTTTTAGAAGTAAAATTTTTTAAATAGAATACGATAATGTATAAAAAATAATATAAAAAATAAAAATAATATGATTTAAAATTATAATAAAAATAATATATGAATTTAATAAAATAAAGATTTCTAAAATTTTTTTACACCTTTATAACACATACCTCATTCCATTAAAAGTAATGCTTGACCCTTTTTTTAAAAGTAAAATTACTATTTGATCTAATCTTTTTTATATTCTTAGTTTCGCTGGCTTACACAATGTTTTTCACTCTCTAAGAAGGTTCAAAAGGTGAAAGAAAGAAATAACGAATTTAGAATCTTTGTCGAATTAATTTGGAATTAAATGGTTTTTGTAGTTCTAAAATTCTTTTCCTCAATCTTCGCATAACCCATCAAAGCATAAAGCAAAACCAAAAAGAGACGAAGGAACAAGAAATCCAAGATTTATTTTTTTGAAAAACCATTGGTAGGTGAACATTTTGAGTAAAAAGAAAAGCATCAGAGAATCGAGCTTTAAAATAATAGTTAAAAATGGGAATAACAGCAAAGGGAATTCCACTTAGACTCCCACATGAAAAGAAGAGAATAGAATCATGAGGAAGAGTGGTAGTTGTTTAAAGCTTATTAAATCATCAATTCGAAAACACTTTTATTTCCATTTTACTGTATGATACGGTTCATTTGATTCTCTCTCCCTCTATATTTGTGTAGCATATATTTTTAAATACATAAAGAAGCTCTTGAAAGGGTAGAAAAGGAGGGATTGCAAAAGGCTTTTAAGCATGGAACATCGATGTCGAGCAATGATTTTGTCCGAGGGAGCATATGGGCCAGCTTTTCTAGCTAAATCAAGGTAGAAATAAAACCCTCAAAAGGGTTTACAAAAGGACATTCCCCTTGAAAGATGTCGCTGACCCAACATCCCCCTCTTGTCCAAAAATGCTTATTTGCCTGAACAAAACCATGATTCCGGGAGGGTGTAAATTGTTGGGAAAAAGAATGATTTTGGTTACAAATTAATCTTTTCATTTTCTTTGTTTAATTTCTTTGGGTATGAGGCATGCTTAGGGCATCATCTCATGGACCATATTTGCTAATGTTATCATCATCGTGTGGATCATGATGATGTTGGTATAACTAAGTATATGATCTGAATGCCAGTCTCTCTATGCTGCTTTGTTATTGGGGACGACCCATAATGATATTTAATCATGCTCTTCAGCTTCATCTAATATTACTTGCGCATGCACCCTGATCATAGCAGTTGTCTAGGCCTGATGTGTTACAAAAATCTTGCTTAGCTCACTCCCTTCTTGTCATTGCCTCGTTGGGATGCGATTTAATTCCTGTTCTTGTCATGTAAACCTTTCCTTTCAAATATATATTTTTTGACTACCCTTTTCACTTTTTTGTGTAGGATGTTCATGACGCCCTTAAAAATTAAAAGATTTTAAAGAAAAAAATTTTACTTGGCTCCCACAAAATATTTTTTTTTATTTTTTTATTGATGAAATTGATTAATTCTTTAATAACTATATATATTATAAATAAACATTTTCGTAAAATTTTTTTTTTGATCCATCGTTGGGCTGAA